CAACTTTGAGACCTAATCTGTACCCCAGATCAAACCACTTCTTTTGTAAATTTCCTTCCATTGCAATGATTTGAAGACAGTCACCCAATAAAGGATCATTTACTATAAATAAGAAATTTTATAGCTTTCAGTCATTTGTTGTATACCTGTAGAATGTAACTCAGTGTCACTAGTAGCAGTCAATAGTAAAAGATGGCTTTTAAGTAGGACTGTGCTCACAAATGGAGGATTAACTTGATTGAATCTGATGGTAACTTCTTTGCTTTGAGGATGTTCTGATAATGTCTCATTATGTGTGAATTGTATTTTGAAATGAGGGAGATTATGAAAACTAAATTCATCTTTTTGAGGATCTATTTTTCTGAGTTTCTGATGTATACTTGATGCTGTAATCTATATAATGGTTATGCATATTATTGTGCTAATAAAAATTACTAACATTAGGAATATCACACTGTCTTGTCCAACCAGGAATATTATCTGGCTCAAAGGTGAGTGATACTGGATCATCACTAGTAAATGTGACTGGTTTGTATGTTATTATTTCAAACCCTTCCTTTTCACACTGAGCTGCTATTATCTAAATGGAATGTAAAAATTTTATCAAGTTATGTACATGTAATTGCACCTTTTTCCATCCTTGCTGTCGACTTAAAAAAATGAAATCTATTGTTACTTCCTTAGCTTCATACTTCTCGGTAATTGCTATTAGGTATTGTTTGGCAAAGCTTTCGTAGTAATTTTTGTGAATAGCAGCACAGGTTGTACAAAAGCTTAAGCTATTAATTTTGATGAGCTTGAAACCTCTATCCATTTTAAGTTCAGAATCTGTTTCTGTTTGTTGATGAAAAGTATAGTCACCATTATCAGCTTTTAATAAGGCAAATTTGTTTTGATCTGCTTTACTAGAAATGTACATTCCATGAGGAATGTACAATTTTGCTTGCTTCTCTAACTTTCTATCAATGTACACCCACACAATAGGAGTAACAGGTACATAATCACCAAACTCAAACTTATCACTGAAGAGACATGCTCCAAACCAAACAGTAGCTGACTCTTGTACTGCTCCCTTCGGAATAATGAGAATCACTCCATACTGACTGCTGTGATACATTAATCCCCTATTGTCAACTGATATCTGGGTCAGGCTACCAAATACATCTGTGAAAACAAACTGCATAGCTATGCATATTATTAATAAGTGTATACCTTTAGCATATTTAAGGAGCTCTTCACATGGAGGACATTGTTTTGATTCAATACTCCTTGGTCCACTTCTTAGTTTTTTGATATCTTGCATTGAATTTGCAGTTTTACTATCAGTTTCTTCATCACTTTTATCCATAAAACTTGTTTCTGTCAAAAGTATTTTAGTTACATGTGATGATGAATGTAATATCATAACATTATTATTCTTATTATTATGAGTATATATGTGTATTATCACTTATGTAAAGTTATGTGTTCATAATTGTATTGCGCATTGCTCAGAACAACATATACATTGTTGAATAGATTTCTTTGCTATTGTGATTCTGGAAAAGTGAATTCTTTATTAATTCAAAAGAACAATATATTACACTGGCGACGAGGGTGGGATGGCTGAGAATACCCCATATGGGCGCCTAGAAGAATTTTCTCCAGAGATAGAGACGTTCGCTTCCTACAGTGAAAGAGTGGAGCTTTTCCTTCAAGCTCACGCTGTTCCTGACGACAGGCAGGTCGCTGTTGTCCTCAACGCAGTGGGAGTGAAGAATTACTCGCTACTGAGGGGCTTGGTTGCGCCCGCAAAGCCCAGTGAAAAGACTGTCACAGAGTTGTTAGACTTGTTGAAGGGGCATTATGAGCCTGAACCGGTTATAA